TATATATATATTTATATTTATTTCTGAAAATATTATGGAGTGATTTGAAACTCCTATGCAAGTTACATAAGGAGTAGCATATTTATGTTATTGTAAATATAGAGATTTCCATTTCAGTTAGGATGTTGCCTATACAGACTGCAGACAGTAAGACAGACAGCTCACTAGGTTTTGGAACAGAGCCATTGTGTTTTCAGATGCTGGTGTGCTTAACTAGCTTAGCTAACAAGACCCAAGGTGTAAAACGATGTTAATCAGAGGTGAAAGAGCAACATCTGAGGAATATCATTTTCCTAGGGTCATTTATATTGTATCCATGGATGAGTCCCTGCTTCCTGATTGCCATGGCAGCACATCTATGCCAGCGGTGCCAGCAGTCTGCTGTGGTGCTGCCGGGTGACGTCTGTCTGTGTTCACACCCGCAGTCACATGACCAGCTGGTGCTGGAGCTGTGAAAGAGCCGTCAGTGTGAATTCACCAAATCCTCGCACACAGACAAAAGACAAAATGAAATTGAGCTCTCAGGCACAAAACAATGAAAATATTCCCTTCTATAAAAGAAGCACAACTTTGACATTTTAATCGTATTTTGGCTCCAGTTCCAGAAATGTCATTTTACCCAGCATACTGCTCTATCGGTCACTTTGATTTACTGTCTGTATGGAGTATCCTGATTGGGACAGGACGCTGGTATAGTTATTGATCTGCCTGTCTCTCTGTGTCTTTCTCTCGCAGGTCTAATTGTGTATCTGGGTATGATGGTGGGTGCCTTTGTGTGGGGAGGTCTGGCTGACAGAATCGGCCGCAGACAGACTCTTCTTATCTCTCTCTCCATCAACAGTGTCTTTGCTTTCTTCTCCTCCTTTGTCCAAGGATACAGCTCTTTCCTGTTCTGTCGTCTGCTCTCCGGTGTGGGGTAAATGCACAGTTCACAACACCTACAGACTCTTTTACATTTATTATATATAAAGGAAAAAGAAAACAATTCCCGCACACTGTCAATTAGTGCAAAAGTATCAAAAAGGTTTAATAACAACGTTTCGGTCGCATGACCTTCATCAGGTATCTTCGTAGGAAGATCAGGAAGATACCTAATGAAGGTCATGCAAGTATGTGTGTGTGTGCATATATATATATATATATATATATATATAGTTTACTTTTTGCCCATTTTGAATTAGCATTTTTTATATTTTCAGTTGTCATTTTCATTTTAGTTAGTGATTTTATGTGCTTTTGTCATTTTTATAAATTTTAGTTTTTTTAAGTTTCTGTACATGTAACTTTAATGTATTATAAGCATTAGTTTTATTAATAGTTTTATTTGTATTTTTAGTAATACTAATACTTTTGCTTATTTTATTTGACTTCTGTTAGCTGTGAAGTCGCAGCATTTCTATTTATCTTTTAAATATTTTCATCTATTATTTCTTTTTTATTTTATTTCAACTTTATTTCAATTAACAAAAGATTTTAAATAGTTCTAGTTTTTTTTTTGTTACCAATACAAATTATGATACACTCCAATAAAATATATTTGGAAGTTGTAAATTAAAATGAATGGATTAATAGAGTGTGTTTTACAAGCAAATACTTAATCAGTCTTTTTACTTAAAAATGCCATGTTGAATTCAATGTGTTACTTGCCATTTCTTTGTCATTTTTGCTGAAATTTACTACAAACTTGAATTTGAAAATTGTTTCATTATTATTAAATCCTACAGAAGTAAATTGTACACCAATTGTTTTCAGCATATATTATAAACCTATTATGAAATATGGTGGAAGGACAGATTTTCTGAATGTATATAATTTATTGAAATATTATATTTAATGAATTAAATCAAATTTCTATAGGTTAATACACATATGATCTAATGATTCTGGAAATACCCAGAATTTTCACGGTAATTGGTTATAATGTAAAAAATAAAATAGTAATAAAAACAGCAGTTACCTTATTTTCAATTTCATTCCATTTTAATTCTACTTCCTGGTATTTTTACTAGCTCAATTCAAATTCGAAAAATTATAATGGTGCACAAAATTTTACACTGTTATGTTTAATTTTAAATGAGATATTCTATTTTTTTTTTAAATGACGCACAATATCCTAATAATGGAGTCCCGCTCTGTTTTGTGCTGTAGGATCGGTGGCTCTATTCCCATCGTGTTCTCATATTACTCTGAGTTTCTGGCTCAAGAGAAGCGTGGTGAGCACTTGAGCTGGCTCTGCATGTTCTGGATGATTGGGGGCATCTACGCTGCTGCCATGGCCTGGGCCATCATTCCCCACTATGGTACCCATCACGCTCACATTGTTTGGGTGGTGTTCTGTAGCTTAATGGTTAATTGATCTCAGCTGGTAGCTGAAAGGTTGTAGCTCCATTAACTATCACCACTGTGCCCTTGAGCAGGACACTTAACCTCAGCTTACTCCAGAGGGGACTGAACCGCTAACTTAAGATGCAGATGTCACTGAAAGTAATTCCACCAATTATCGTGTCATGTGATGATCAATAAAGGATTTAGGGACAATGTTAAAAGTGGTTATAAATCTCATCAGCTTATCTTCAAAAGTATAACATGATTTTAAAAGCCTACTTGCCATGAATACCAGCAATGTCAGTCACTTGATTTTTTTGCCATAATCCTAAAACATTGTCCAAACAAGCTTGCGCACAAACTGTTCCAGGTGTGGCTTGGGTGATGACTGTTAATTATGTTATATGTGAATATTAATTATGCACTAAAGTTATAATTCAATGTAAAAAGTGGTAACCTGTAATTGTTATATTAAAGAGCTATTTCTACTATACCCAATCTTACCCTTAAATGTAGTTTTGTTGATGTATCCTAAAATACTCAGGTTGATTCAGTAATGTTAAATAACATTTTTTTTGTTTGAATAAAATCAATTAATTTAACAAAATTAATTTTACCACATGAAAAACATTTTTAGCTCACCATTTCTTTCAGTGTGGTTTCTCTGTCCCTGAAAGACTGTCTATATAATTTATTAGTTGTAAATTAAGTGGTATTTTTTAGCATTCACTCTTTAAAAAGTTTACAGTCAAAAAATGGAAACATTTTGATATCATTAATTATTTTGGATATTTTATGACTTTGTAAATGTTCATTTAGTGCAGGGTCAGAAATTAACAAGGGCTTGGGGCCCTTGTAAAATGCAACCAAAATCACAAAAATATCACCCAAATGCAAGATGCTGGGGCAAAAAAAGCGGGGGCACAATTAAACAATATCGATTATGATTGGAATCATAACTGATTTTGCTGAAATGTGAAAATGCATGAAAGGACATTACATTTAGTTCCTGTTTTTTATATGTATGTACTTTTGAGGCTATGTAAAATTGCATTCATCTCATAGCATATTTACAAACAAAATAAGATGCAGCTTCTGTGCCACCTTTGACTTTTTTAGATGTTAATACGATTTTGTTGGTTACAGTCTATAGTATTCTGATTATAGTATTCTAAATTGATTGGATTAATTGAATAAATACAAGAATACAATACAAAGGTAAAAAAATGCCCTCGACATCCATTCCAGTGGGGAATGTTGCCCCTTAATGGAAAAGTTTGTTTCTGAGCCTGATTCATTGCAACTAGTAATATATGCCCTTTCCCTTTAACCAGGCTGGAGTTTCCAGATGGGCTCAGCCTACCAGTTTCACAGCTGGCGAGTGTTTGTGCTGGTGTGTGCGTTCCCGGCCGTCACCGCTATCGCTGCGCTGACCACCATGCCAGAGAGCCCACGCTTCTTACTGGAGGTTAGTGACGTCCCACATCCCGGCTTGGATCTGTTTTTTGGTTCATGCTGTAGGTAGAAGTGCAGAATAAGTTCCTAAATGAAAGATGACTTTGCTGCAATGTGTGTGTTTTAACAGAACGGAAAACATGATGAAGCTTGGATGATTCTGAAGCAGGTCCATGACACCAACATGAGGGCCAAGGGCTACCCGGAGAGGGTTTTCTCTGTGAGTACTGCTAGATTCACCATCAGAAAGAACAATAACATTAGAACGGAAGTGATCTGTGGAAATGTTCATTCCTCAGTATGAATTAGAAATGAATTATGCAGCCACGCTAATGGGTTTCCATTTATCTGGCCGAACTGGAGTTAAATTGGCTTTAATGCACATTTAATGAAGGTCAATAAAGTTTTTATTTTTTTATTTTGGGAACTTAAACAACATTCTGTAAGTATTATGGACCCTTTTAAAGTCTGCAACGATTAGCATTGTAAATCTTAATCTTGTTAATTAGACACGGCTCACCTCTCATTGCCAAGTTCTGTAGTTAAAATAGGCTATTCCTACCAATTAGCCACACAAAACTGAGAATATCAGTGAAGTATGAAGGCACGTTTTGAAGCATGCTGTGAAATCCTCAGGTCACCACTATTAAGACGGTGAAACAGATGGATGAGCTGGTTGACATGGGTGGAGAGGCCACAGCCTGGCATCAGCGCTGGAGGATCAAGCTGACCAACCTCTTCCATCAGGTAGAGTACGATAACACCGCAAAAATCACTCAAACAACAATTACCAAATGAAATTTTAATTTCAAATGATCTATAGAGGACATATTCTATTATTTTGCACATTTCATTTTATATCAGTCAAAGTTTCTTGCACCAAAAAGTCATCGTTTCATTGAACACTACTGCTCAAAAGTTTGGGGTCAGGAAGTTTTTTTTTTCATTCAGCAAGCATGCATTAAATTGATAAAAAGTGACAGAAATACATTTATAATGTTACAAAAGATTTATATTTAAATACTGTTCTTTTGAAAATTCTATTCACCAAAGAATCCTGAAAAAAATGTATCACGTTTTCCACAAAAATATTAAGCAGCACCAGGGCTAAAACTATTAGAAACAATTTTGTTAACCTCAAAACAAAATAAAAAATAATTAATAATAAAATATTAAATGAAGAAATACATAATAGCTCTTCTTGGCAACTAACTAAAATAATTTTATGTTGAAGCTCTAAAATGACTAACTGGAAATAAATAAAAGTTGAAACTGAACTAAAACTGAAATAAAAAAAATATATCTAAATAATATTTAAAAAGAACAAAAACGAATGAATATGACAAAAGAGCAAAACTAACTCAAATTAAAATAAAAACTGAAAATATAAAAATTATATAATAATAATAATAAAATAACTCTAAGCAGCACAACTGTTTTCAACATTTATAATAATACAAAATATTGGTTACACTTTATTTTTAAGGCGTCCTTGTTACAGCGTAATTATACATTTAAATACTGAGTCATATTAATTTTAATAACTACATATACTTACTATATGGTTAGGGTTAGGATTAGGGTTTGGTTTAGGGTTACTTGCATGTAATTACACATAATTTATTGTTATTATAATAGTAAGTACATGTAACGTGTGTAACAAAGACACCTTAAAATAAAGTGTTACTGAAATATATCTTAAGAAACAAATCAGCATATTAGAATAATCAAGTGACACATGTGACAGGATTACTGTATTTTTTATCAAATAAATGCAGCTTTGGTGACCTCCTTCAAAAACATTAAAAAATCTTGTTCAACCCCAAACTTTTAAACAGCATTTTATATACAGTATGAAAATGATTGTTATTATAATTGGCTAGGCTCTTTGCATGAAATAAATAATAATGCCCTCACCAATTTGCTGAGGACTGAATAGGCATTGATATGTAAATGCGGGTGGTCATATGTTAACATGCTTACGTTTTAGTGAATTTGTAACTATGGCGATTCTGATTGACACATATTTGCAGCTTAGTTTCCATAAGTTACAAAGACTAAAGTCTCTATAGTACATTGGACTCAAATAAAATGCTGCTTTATTTTGGGTTTCCAGGTGTGGAGCAACTTCCTGACAGTGTTTAATCCAGAGTACCGGAGGATCACCTACATGATGATGGCCGTGTGGTTTTCCATGTCCTTCAGGTAACCTACCCTGAACCACATGCATTTTCCAACCCATCCTATGAATGCATCTCTGCATCGTTTCATGTCTTGTTGCTCTCTGTCTCCAGCTACTATGGGCTGACTGTTTGGTTCCCTGACATGATCAAATACCTGCAGAAACAAGAGTACTCCTCTCGCACAAAGGTCTTCATCAAAGAGAAAGTAGAGCATGTGACCTTTAACTTCACCTTGGAGAACCAGATCCACCGAAATGGAGAGTACTTCAACAACAAGTAAGCGCTGCTCACAGGCAGTATGCCAGACATATTTCAGCAAATAGGCCTGGCCTTTCTATGAAAGGTGAATTGTGTTGTGACATTTGCTTGTTTAAAGGTATATTCCAGATTAAATGCAATTTAAGTGTGAGAGAATGACACAACAACCTTATCTTTTGAGCATGCTGTATCTTTTGTTTTTCTTTCATTTATGGCAGAAATCTAAGGCAGCATCATATGCAGTATTTATTAATATTTGAAATTAGCTTTAAATTGGCTTCTAAACTCTGGGACAATCCCAGAGTGTGTTGTTAAAAATCATGCGAATGCAGACGAGTTGAGAGAAATACATTTCACATAGGTGGCTGCCTGTAGACCGTAAGGCAGCTCACTAGAGTTTGTAACAGAGCAACTGTTCCTCAGAAGCTTTCATGTGAAGCCTGTGATAGTGTGATCACCCTCCAGCCCCTCTATGAAACCATTAATCAGTCAGTGTCCTACAGTTTTATTCAAATAATGTGTCCCAATTATGAGCAGCTGTTCCACTTCAACTAGATAAAGTCTTTCCCACAAATCTAGTTTATGTTCAGCTAATCAGGAATGTGGTTTTATATACAAGCTCATCTCTTATCAGCTAACGCTTTTAGTATGTAGTCACAATGCCGTTTTAATTTCATGACCTTCAATAAAGTCTAAATACAAATTTGTCTCAACATGCACAACATATCCAATATGAATGATACAAAATCACAGAGACCAGATGAAGACTTTTACTTTTACTAGACTTTTATTTATTCTTATTGCCTGTCAGTAATTATCTTAACGATTTATATTTGTATTTTTCTTACAGTATTATAGGAGAAACATTTAAAAATGTATACTGTATATTTTTTCAATACATTTCTGTTTATTATTTGCATTGTACTGTATTATTTCTCTGTTGTAGTTTGTTTTATTGTTTTGGTTTTATGTATAATATTTCATGTTTACCACAGGACAATCAAAACGTGTGTTTTTGGCGATTGCATTATCCGTTATCCATTTGTATTTGGGCCACTTTGTAGAAACTAAAGGAATTCTGAATACCTCTAAGGCAGCAATACAAATTTCTTAGTGAATCTTTTCACTTTGGCTTTAAAGGTTCTTGAATCTGAAGATGAAGTCGATGGTATTTGAAGACTCCCTGTTTGAGGAATGCTACTTTGAGGATATCACGTCAAGCAACACCTTCTTCAAAAACTGCACCTTCATCTCCACCCTCTTCTACAACACAGGTGAGAAGACCACAGGTTTCACCATTCTGGGTATAAAAAAAAAATATAGCATTGGCATTCAACAGCATTCAGACGTATAAAATATTTGAATTCCAGCCGTAGTCGTTCAAAGCTTTGATCTTTATAAGAAGACACTCGTATGACATGTTTTTCTTCGGTTAAAATGGCTCCTGTTTCTAGAGCTATTGAATGCACTGAAAATGTTTCAGGTATCCTAGCAACACCAGCTCAGATTCTTCCTCTGCCTGTCTGTGAAGGAATGACAATCTGCTTTTCCTGATTCAGTCGTGCTGTGCGTTTATGATTGTTTCCCTGGGCTGGGTATCGAGTTTGATACTTTAGGCACTGAATTGCCTCGATACCATCGAGTATCAAAAAACGTCTCGTCGTTCCGTACCAAATTTCGATACCTAAGGGGTTAATCTCATCAGTGTCAGTGAGCCAATAAGCCTGCAGCACTTGCCGGTGTGTTCAACTAGAAGCGGCGCGGCGCAGATCGATCAGTGTTTGACATCCGAGAGAGCAATTCGAAAGCGCGCAGGGCAGTCTGCTCTCTATAGCTCTCGTGGTACTGCAATACACTGATCGGTCTGCACAGTCAGTCCGCGTCAAGTCGAACACATCTACTAGTTTACACCGGTTACACTCAGAGATGTGGCGCACACGTGAGGCTGTAGTGTGAATGCATCCCAGCCACATTTACACTGGTGCGTTTTTGTTTTAAAATGAAAACGATCCTTGTCGTACTGGCGTTTCCACTGCGTTTTAAGCCGGCTTTCCACATAGACTGTAAAAAAAGATGGACGACGTGTCTCCTATTCCTATTGAAAAGTGAAGCTAAAGCATCTCAGTATGGCTGCTGCCATCCACTATATCTGACAAACGACAAGCGGGTCGTGACAGACCGGAAGCCATTAATTTCCAATGGAGAGTGCGGGAGCTGCGTGGAGTTCCAATCATATGCAGATGTCCGTTTATTCATACTACACGACCGAAAGCACGTGTTATGTGAACATTCATGCACACTGTAGCATCATGCTACATAAGACAATAAATAAGATTTATATTCCGCATTCAAAACTCACTTTAAACCACCATCGAGTGTTTGTAATAACTTTCGATTGCCGTCTAATGTGTGTTTTGGCCATGTAATGTTGCTGAAATTAAATATGTTATTACCTCTGAGTCAGAGCAGTGATCATGGAAGAGAGAACACAGGCAGACAGCGCTGGAAGCTGCTAATGCTCATCAGTAAATCAGTGGAAAATGAATAGAAATGATGATTCTGTCTGAGCTATGAGTTTTAAATAACAGATGTACAAAATCTGAAGACTATTTGAGCTTTATTAAAACTATTTGCACTGATTTATTGTGTTGGTTACATTTTGTTCCTTTGTGCAGTGGCTCAGGAGATGAGTCTTTGAGTTTGTATAAACATCAACAAGCTGAAAAATAAAGCCAAAGTTTTTTTTTTTTTAAGATAACGTAATGTTGTTAAAAGCATCATGCTACATAAGACAATAAATAAGATTTATATTCCGCATTCAAAACTCACTTTAAACCACCATCGAGTGTTTGTAATAACTTTCGATTGCCGTCTAATGTGTGTTTTGGCCATGTAATGTTGCTGAAATTAAATATGTTATTACCTCTGAGTCAGAGCAGTGATCATGGAAGAGAGAACACAGGCAGACAGCGCTGGAAGCTGCTAATGCTCATCAGTAAATCAGTGGAAAATGAATAGAAATGATGATTCTGTCTGAGCTATGAGTTTTAAATAACAGATGTACAAAATCTGAAGACTATTTGAGCTTTATTAAAACTATTTGCACTGATTTATTGTGTTGGTTACATTTTGTTCCTTTGTGCAGTGGCTCAGGAGATGAGTCTTTGAGTTTGTATAAACATCAACAAGCTGAAAAATAAAGCCAAAGTTTTTTTTTTTTTAAGATAACGTAATGTTGTTAAAATTGATTTCATAAAATTGGTATCGAAAAAAGTATCATTCAGGAACTGATATCGAAGTCAAGGTATCGGTATCGTATCGGAAATTTTTGAACGATACCCAGCCCTACCTTGAGCAGCTTGAAAATAAATGATGAGGCTAAGAAACAAAGACTCTGTTCCAAAACCTAGTACACTGCCTACCTAGACAGCATTTTAATGTTTACATGAATGCATTTGCAGATGCTTTTATCATAATTTATTTTGTCATAATTTACTCATCCTCAAGTCATTCCAAACCTGTATGCATTTCTTTCTTCTTTAAAACCCAAAAGAAGATATTGGTAACCAAACCTTTCCATCTTATTTTTTGTCTACACTATAGAAGTCAACAGGACCCAAAACCGTTTGGTTACCAACATTCTTCAATATATCTTCTTTTGTGTTCCTGAATTTTCTTTTTTTTTTTTTTTGGTGTATGCCTGCATGCATGTATCCCCTGCCATGCATTACAAGGCATGCAAAATGCTGTTTTTCAAAAGGTTAAGTGAATAAATTAATCCAGGATGGCAATGACTATAGTATCCATATCCTGTGTGAATAACCATTTGAAGGCAGTAGACAGCTTACAAGGTTTTAGTATGGAGGCAAATGTCAAAAATTCAGTTGGTTTCTGTCCTCTGCGTCTTGAAGTAGCTCAATGTATTAGACCACATGCATAAAGATGTTTATTTATTCTAGGGTGACCATACGTCCTCTTTTTCCCAGACAAGTCTTGGCTATGATTTCTAAGATATCCAGGTTTTGGCTTTGCTTTGCTATTGTTTTCATACTTGCTGAAGGTAATGACTGAAAAGTAGTTTGACCAGTAGCGTGCAGACATTGTACATAATCGACCAATCGTAGGATGCAATAAGGTGGGATCTACAGAGAATGGTCAAAGCAATGCAAAGAGACTTACATATAATGTTTGAGGACTGTAGAGAGCTTGTAGGAGAACAAAGCCAAAACTTGGCAATTTGGAAATTTGACCTAGAAACGCCTGCATACTTAAATTGGTGTACTGGAAGAATCGCTGCTGCATTGGTTAACAAGAGCTCTCATCTGTTTCTAGACTTGTTCAAGTACCGGCTGATCAACAGCAAACTCATCAACAGCACTTTTCTGCATAACAAAGAAGGCTGTATGCTGGATTTCAGCGATGAGAACAATGCGTACATGATCTATTTCGTCAGCTTCCTCGGCACACTTGCTGTCCTGCCCGGGAACATCGTGTCTGCCCTGCTCATGGACAAGATCGGACGTCTAAGAATGCTGGGTAAGAAAAACAAGTTGCATCAGTGCTAAATAGTTTTTGGAGCTCCGAATAATATGAATTATTTAAAAAAAATAATAAACATTTGTTCTCACTCTTGTCATCTGGTGCAGCGGGTTCCAGTGTGATTTCCTGCGTCAGCTGCTTCTTCCTGTCATTTGGAAACAGTGAATCTGCTATGATTGCCTTGCTCTGTCTGTTTGGGGGCATCAGCATTGCGTCGTGGAATGCCCTGGATGTGCTAACAGTGGAGCTGTACCCCTCGGACAAGAGGTGGGTCAAGCTCGTATTTCTGTGATTATTGTGCATCTGTCACAATTGTCCTCTTTTCTCTCTGCGTGTGTATTTAACAGTGATCTCAATACATATTTGGGCACTTACGCCACATTTTACAACGTATATTTGTAAAGGAATTGAATAAAAGCAAGATTCTCTTCTCCTTTAATGAAAATGTTTTCATACTGTGTGAAATGATTCGAAAGATTAATAGATCAAATGTATGTCAGTAATTCTGTGCTGCATTGCCACTGCAGTGCAGATCAAATACATCATAATTTAGGGCATATCTAAAAATTCTCAGTCAAAATGAATGAAGTCTCAGCAGTTCTGCCACAAAGTGCTATGCATTATTTCTAAGAAAATATGTTGACAGTGCCTGCTTAACAAAATGGGCTCTTTAGCACCCCTAAGAGTTCAGAAACGATTTCAGAAACGTTTTGGAGACATTTACAATATTATAAAAGATCCCAAATAACTTTCTATTTAGCGAAGAATCCTGAAAAAATTTATCCGCTTCCACAAAAATATGAAGCAGAACAACTGTTTTCAACATTCGTAATTATACCAAATGTTTCTTCAGAATATTACACTTTTTTGTTGTTGTGTGCAGTCAGTGATGCCATAGAAGAACCATTTTGAGTTCCACAAAGAACCTTTTAGTGAACAGTTCTTATAAGAATCATGTTTTTCTTAGTCTGAAGAACCTTTTTTCTGCTATAAAGAAGCTCTTCTGCAATGAAAAGGTTCCATGGTTGTTAAAGCTTTTTTTGTGGAACCATCAGTGGCCAATAAAGAACCTTTAATTTAAAAAAGTGTAGAATGATTTCTGAAGGATCATGTGAAAAGCTGAAAAGTTATCTTTGCATCACAGGAATAAATTACATTTTAAAATAGGAAAAAAAGTTATTTTAAATTGTAATGATATTTCACAATATTACTGTTTTTAGAGCAAATAAAAGGAGCCTTGGTGAGCATAAGAGACTTCTTTGAAAAAGAAGGACGAATTTCTTTATAAACAGATCTGATTTATGAAATTTTAAATATTTTTCTTCTTTTCCACAGGACTACAGCCTTCGGCTTTCTAAACGCCCTCTGTAAGTTAGCTGCAGTTCTGGGCATCAGCATCTTCCAGTCGTTTGTGGGCATCACTAAAGCAGTGCCCATCCTCTTTGCATCAGCAGCTTTGGCAGTCGGAAGCTTCTTGGCTCTCAAGCTTCCTGAGACTCGCGGTCAGGCGCTTCAATAGTGCAGCGTTCCAGCATGCAGGTGGCGGCGTTTGAGTTTGACCCTGTCCTTGAGTGAGCAATGCTGGAAGCAGCCCACACAAATCCAACATTTACAGATATCTTCATTCCTCCAATATGTGCAATCGTATTATTATTTCATTCAATTGAATTTGATTTAATTCAGATCTACATTTATAGACATGTTCCCTGCTGATGTCTCACTGTCTCACAGGAATATTGGAAACCCTATGTGTGTGTGTGTGTGTGTGTGTGTGTGTGTGTGGAAAAACTGCCATGTTAAACGCATTCCAGCTTTACGTTATGAAATGAATGTGAAATTTAACATGTTAATTTTGACTTTCCCTTTAATCTTCATCCGAGCCATCACGTGATTTGAAAACCATCACTGAGGACCCGTGAAATCAGTAGGTAGATATATTTGAATGGACAGTGTTGATCAAGTGGTGCTGGTGATGGTTATTGTTGTTGCTTTACCCTAGTCCGTTGTGTCCCAACAACATAAAAAGTGTGTGATGCCGCAATTGTCTGCAATATCGGCTCAAGCACTCCTCTTTTTTTTAGATGTTTTAATGCATTAACACTGACGTCACATTACTATAGACAGTGGTTCACTCATTTTTGGCTTTCGGAATTCAAATTCGGTTGTTCTTTCAAAACGTCTGATTATTGACGGTGTTGTGCATGCAATGAAGCGTGTCGATTCATAACAATATGCTTGAAGATAGTGAACATAACTGAGGAAAGTGCTCTGTATTACGCTACTCTACCTATGATTCTTTGGACATGATGTAAAATATGAGATAAGTGACATGATGGGTTGTCATTTGTATGGTTTAGTATGCCATTATTCATACTTTGCATTGTTTTATGCTACTATCATACTTTGTCCCAGAGTTTGTGTTCCTATTGAGATCCACAGAGCAGTTTTAGTTGCGTCGCTTTCGAATGTGTGCCAACATTGAGACAAACGTTACATTCGCCCCGTTTTCAAAAAAAAATCCATTAAGAAAAAACTAAAGGAAAAAAATGAACAAATGAAGCACAATGTGATTTGATTAAACTGTCAAAAACAATAGTTTTATTTTGATGATTATGTAAATTATGTATTGAATATAAATATATAAAAATTAGCTGTAATTCAAGTCTGTCTGTTTGAACACTCAAACTATTATTAAATATACCAACATATATATAAGAAAAGATATTTACATGTTCAAATGTTGAACTAGTATCAACATATGTCTTAGATTCCATTTGATGTATGTATATACAGTTTATCTGTTCATTAAGGGATTTCTTTTTTTTATCAAAGCAAATATATAAAAAAATGACTGAACAAGTCAGTACACTGATTTGCAGCACACACAATCACCCTCCTTCACGTTTTCTCTTGTGTTCTTGTAAAGAAACAGAGGTATCCGTCTGTGTGTGGGTGTGTGTGTAAGTATGGAAGTATGTGTGCTTGCATGTGAAATGTTGAGTGTTCTCTGAATATTTGTATTTATTTATATATAGTATTTTTTACTTTGAGTATCTGTAGAAACAGATGTAGTGCCACATGCAGGGTGAATTTTTTGCTGTATCGTTGTTGACCTGATGTTCAATTCTTTGGTGACTTGGTAGCAGTGACTGAATATAGCATGAAAAAGAAGCGAAAGTCAAAACCCAATGGATTTTAAAAAGAAAGCAACATTTGATAGGAAGCAAAAACCTAGGATATATCCCATTAGGACAAGCAACTTGTCCAATTCTGCTACATTTTACCAAGCACAATTAATACTAGTTCCATGGAGAATCATGGAAAACTGGTTAAATAACCAGATAATGACGCAAAAAATATATATATTTCAGCCCTGTTGCTCGTAAACACAACCAGCGCTTACATGAAAACCGTTTTTGGTGTCATTCTCAACGTTCTTTACTGCCATTTTGTAGGATAGTAGCCATATTATGTGCTCAGAGTAGACACACAATACAACCAACCATTTTTAGATTTAAAAATACTTCAACCAAACTATTAATTTTAGGCACAAATGTAACTTTCAAGCTCTTGAAATGTTTCTAACAGCCTTACAGCCTATTTCAATTGGAGAAAGCGGCATTGCGCAGTGCCACGCGTCACATAGTAAAAAAATTCTAGAAACTGCCATCCCTGCTGTGACCGTCGGTCACCAGTAGTGTCACAGATACTGTAGTGACAATCTTTATGTGTGCCATGTGTGACCGTGCGCATCTTTAATTGCCAAATATTTTCTACTTCCTCGGTTTGTACTGGCAGATCTCACATCAAGGCACAGACAAAAATGTCATTTGTAATACATCAACGTTCTAGCAGGGTGTGGCGAACCAAACAGAAAAACAATATGAAAAACAACGTTTTGAGGCTATAGACCAGGGGTGGCGAACTCCAGTCCTGGAGAGCCGCAGTCCTGCAGAGCTCAGCTCCAACCCTAATTAAAACTCACCTGCCTGTAGCTTCCTAGTAACCCTTCAGGCCTTGATTAGCTTGTTCAGGTGTGTTTGATTAAGGTTGAAGCAAAACTCTGCAGGGCTGCGTCTCTCCAGGACCGACGTTCGCCACCCCTGCTATAGACATATCTCTCAATCAGGTGTTTTACTCCGATGGGACGCACTTCATGCTCTTGCAAACGTTTAAAACGAGCCGAAAGCTGGTTACAATTTAGAGAAGGCTTGAAAACGATAACTATTAAAGATTTGGTTGGTCAGTAAACTAGATAATTGTTTGTACGCACAACCAGTCATCTGTTATATATATTGAACTTCTTTGATGTCACTTTCAAAATGGCCCATCGAAAACATTTCCAAACAGTCCTGCAGTTTGTAACCCTTCACATCTCCAACGTGTAGCTGTTGTTCCCTAGTAACGAGTATGTCATAATTGCTGTTGTATGCTGTGAATTACAGTAACTAATCTCAGTGAAGCTATGACTTATCTGTGTACAAGCAGTCCTGGATTTGGTCCTCACTTAAGATTGTGTACTGGTCGTAAGACTTTTGGGTTTTGTTACAGGGTCTTTTGTATTTCTAAACGCGTTCACTTAGCAACAATCAATCTTGTGTGCAAAAAGAAATCAAAGCAATAAGTGGTAAACATGTTCGCTCTGCCCCCAAACTATTGGGCAAGAAAGCACACTAAAATATCCGCTGGCCATATTTGATGAAACAGCAGCTGAAAGAAAACAACAGGCCAACATCCATGTACTCTGCAAATATACCGTAGGTCTTCTGATGCTTTTGTCAGTTTCAATGTATTGCCATAATTTAAATGTGACAGAGAGTTTATCACCTTATCATTGTACTGTGCTGTAGAGATTGTAGATGTTTATATGTAAATGAATAAATATGTGGAATAATAAAACAAAAAAAGATAAAAATGTTGAACATGAGAAATAGAGTACTATTGTATGTTGTTCATTTTGTGATTTGTTTTTTGTACATGAGAATGGAAATGTTGACATTATCGCTGAATATAGAGACTATTCCATCCTTACCAAAATGGTTCTGTACTACAGTTTGTGAGAGATTTACTTTGCGTTTTTTTGACTCGTATTCTGGGGATCGGACTGCGCTTGTGCATTTCAAACTGTCCCTCAATGGATTTAAAACATACATACAAATAATAAACAAATGGTATAATGCTTGAATAGATTATTGCAGTTCTTCACGCACGCACCACTCAGACAAACTTATACTCAAGAAAATTCTGTCATTGTTTGCTCACCATCATGGTTCCATGTTCTTCTTTTGTGAAACACAGACATGAATGTTTTGCAGAAGGTCCAGGGCCTGGTTTTCATGCAAATAGAAATAGCCTACTTGGCGGTTGGCTCAAAAAAAAAAAACATTGTAGTAAAAGCAGCAAGAAAGTATGTAACAAAAATTAAGTAGGCCTATGACATGTCTGCTATACTCCAGGGCTTCAGAAATGTTCAGATGTAATCACACAAATAAGCAATTACATTTTTGTTTGTACTTACTAGGCTACTTCTGATATGTAAATCTACAATAAATTGATAAAATATGAATAACAGTAGTTATGTTGTCAACTTACAGTAACGTAGCCTACAGTATGTTATGGAATCACTGTATAAACATATATAGAATTAAAATGGTTAGCATAGGCCTATATATACTTTATGCCGCTGATATAGTCTCAGGCGAATCTGATTTCAGTTCGCGACCATTTATTTGGCGGCGAATTAAAAAAATATAACTGGAACAGGACTAAAAGATTTATCTCTTGATTATAGACTTACATATCATAGTATGTTACAGAATGCTTAAGCGTCTAGTTCTTAAGTCCTTAAGAAAGCAAATTTGGCGTGTCAAACCTCAACAATCAAATTTTTATATACTTCTGATCAGTGTTGGGGGTAACGCATTACAAGTAACGCGAGTTACGTAATCAGATTACTTTTTTCAAGTAACTAGTAAAGTAACGCATTACTTTTTAATTTACAAGAGAATATCTGAGTTACTTTTTCAAATAAGTAACGGAAGTTGCTTTTTTTTTCCAATATATTGACTGACAGCTCTCCTGTCCCCATGTTGAGAGAAATCAGAAGATGTTATTGTAGTTCTAAAATAAATATGAATATGCATTAATTCATCTCACTCACAAAAAACAACAACACAGATTCAGTATTCCTCAAAATGAATACAAATAATGCAACTCAGAATATGACACAAACCTGCAATAATTAAATGTTAAACAACACAAATTTCCTTTATGTATTTAATCCCATTCTATTAACCAATGTGTTTGCTTCTGACCTTTGATGATCCAGTTCAACCGTACTAATAAGCACAAATTACTCTAGACAAACATTTGTGTGTCTTTTTATTGCTGAAGTGTGTTGAAATGTCTTCTTCTGCACTGTACGGATGTAAATGTACTTTCCCTTCAGCCTGAGGCTTATTCATTTCACTTTTGGTGTGAAAAGGCTTTTATATTTGCCAAAAATATCACTTTTTTATTTTAAAAACAAACAAGCAAGCCCTGTCCAGATTTAAAAAGTAACGCAAAAGTAACGTAACGCATTCCTTTCCATAAAAAGTAACTAAGTAACGTAATTAGTTACTTTTTTTATGGAGTAACGCAATATTGTAATGCATTACTTTTAAAAGTAACTTTCCTATGTTGCCTAAATCTACAATATAATGACAAAATATGAAATAACAGTATTTACGTGTTAAGTTACGGAACAGTACGTACAGTATGAAATCACTG